ACGTCGTGTGACCTACGAACGGCTTAGTCGATAAGAGGCGGTTAGATTTGGCGAGTGGTATGTTTATGATCGTAGGTATTATTATAACGACAGTAGTATATTATTATTAGGGGACGAATTTTATTTGAATCACGAACACTTCATCCTCTCTTCATAGGGCTCGAAGCCTTTATTATATACTTTCGTTTACATAGGGCATGTTATATATTGTATTCGTGTTATATTGCTTATACTAATTATAACGTTTATACCAATTATACTGACGATAATGTCTATATCACTGATACTGATTATACTCTCTATACTGATTATAATAATTATACACCGTATCCCACTAATACCCATTATCCGCCCGATACATAGTATACTGCAGATACAGCATATACTGCATATACTGCCGGTAAACCTATTTCAGGTATATGATCTACATACTGCGACAGGTAAACGGTGAGTCTGTTGCTCCAACGGACAAGACCTCACATAACGTTACGAAATGGTGAAATAAGGCTTCGAGGCGTGGATAAAGATTTGACCAGTATCAATTTTATTATTATGACGACTTCGATCCTTTCACCCTACTTGGGGCGCCAAAGCTTTTTTATTACTTGATTAAACTTTTGTTTGCTTTTATACAATTTCACCTTTACTAATAAACTCTATTTATTTTTAGGTTCCACTTCCATTTTTCCACCATTCTGCCACTATATAATCATACCACTATGGGTTTCACCTAAACCGGGTAAGTATTGCGTGCTATTTGTTCTACTGTATTTTTATTTTAATGTGACTATACTAACTCTCCACTCTGAAACACCGTATTCACGACCTCATGCCATCTCCAATTTGAATACATTCGCTTGGATCGATTGTTTTGGCATTGGGGCATGATTATGCACATTTCACCGTTTGTGGGGTCAATCGTCATAATCAATCCTGGGTCCCGATCAGCGCTTGTACAATGTATCGTGATGCATGAGCCGTCACGAATTTTTCGCCTGTAACAATACCCATCACCGATCACAAGCTTCCGGCCCCACCATTCTACTGCTCACAATAGTATACTGCAGATACAGCATATACTGTGTATACTGTCGGTAAACCTATTTCAGGTATATGATCTACATACCCATCACTGATTACAAGCTTCTGGCCCCACCATTCTACTGCTCACATTCCTCTCCAACTCAAGGTCAAGTTTCACAAGACAAAGTTAAACGACAGGGAAGAAATCAGCATGACTTTGAGTGGCCCAACTAATCTGTCCACCAGGATCGAAGACACAGGTACATGGTTCATAATTGGTAAGTATCGAAGGGTCTTATATACCATAGTATTATAGATAACTCTCATTTTACCTAATTGGTACTTTTCTTTTTTTTTAAGTTCATTATCTAATACTAGAATTACTCCTTTGAGGATCAATTTCGACATCTTTATGATGGCTTTCTTTTTTGTATCATCGTGTTGTTGGTCATCTGATTTTGGGTAAGTTTTGTCAAGCTTTTTCAATTTTCCTATTTCTTTCATTAACATTTTAAATTTTTTTACCCTTTTATTCTAATCATCACAGACATCTTCAAGACTTCTGAAATTCAATAATTTTAGTCTTTTGATCTTCTTTCACTTTCCAGTTTCTTCTTTAGCAACCATTGTCTTTCAGTTATTATCATTGTCATTATCATTATCAGCATCATTGGCTTCTTCAAGGCTTACAGGTACATTGTCTTTTTCCTCCTCATTATTTGAATTCGCAGATTCTTTATAATATTCACATGTCTTATGTTCATCTTTTTGAACTCCAATTCCATTGTCATAACAATATCCAACATTATATGCATCATTAGCATTACCCATATCAGCAAGGTTTTGATAATGGACGAAGGCTTTCTGTCTATTCTTTTCGACACCCATTCCATCTTGATGGTCATGTTCAATATTATACGTGCCAACAGGAGAGTCCAACTCACAGAATTCTAGGTGCCTAATAAAGGGTTCATATTCGTCTTTTTCAGCTTCACTTCTAGAGGGCTCTTTCTTGAGTTCAGATGGGTTATCAGTTTTCTTTTCAACTTCAATTCCATGTTCATAAGAATAACTGATGTTAAAGGTACTTTCCATATCAGCAGCTTTTTGAAAGTTCTCAATCGCTTTTCAATCATCTTTATCAATTCTGATTTGTTTGTCCTTTTCGACTCCAATATGTTCATCCTTTCCAATTTCATTACATTCATCTTTTTTGTCTCTATTTTGTTCACCTTTTTCAACTCCAATTCGTTTGTTTTTATCTTCTTCATTCTCAGTTCTATTATCATCTTTATCCCATATCATATCGTCATCGTTGTCATCATTGCTGTCCTCTTCATTATCACCATTATCATTGTTCAATGCTTGATGGCTATCTTTTCCAACATTAATTCCTTTTTTATAAAACAATCCAACATTAGATGTTCCATTATCATTTCCTATTTCTGCAGATTTTTGATAGTGAATGGGTGGTTTAGGTGTCCAGGTCTTTAGAGTCTTTAGGTAACCATCGATTAAGTCTTCTAACTCATTTTTGTCTTTTACTTGTTCATTAGGTTCTTGTTCCACCTTGTCAACTTCAATTCCAAGATGATATCCAAGGTTATTTCATCCATTTGATGCAAACTTGGGTTTGGGTGACTCAAACTTCAGGCCTTCAAGGTAATCATTGGTCAACTTTTTTAACACAATTTTAGCATCCAATTTAACATCTTGCTCTTGTTTTAGGTCTTCTCTTTCATCATCATTACTGGAAAGCTTTGGGAAAAAATCTGATTCAAGAACTTTAGTTGGTTTCTTTTGGCAGAACTTAGCTCGACGAATTTTAGGAGTTTGTTTTAGGCTCTTGTAGATACGGAAGTTTTCTTGATGGCATATATGGTGAGGATAATTATGCAGAGCAGGCATTGTAGATACTTTAATATACAAGGATAGGTATACAATTTCCTGTGTTTTATCTTTATTATCTAGAGATATGTTTTCTAACATTTTTAACATAATCTCTAGGGCCTGAGGAATTTTTCTTTCATTAAGGCTTTGATTTTCAAAGGTTTCATTAATAGTTCGTTAGACCTTCTGGGCTTGTCTGTTGGTAAGTGCTTTGAATAAGGCTGCACATCTCTGTTCTAATGTTATTACGTCTAGGCATTTACTGACAATATGCTTTCTTCTCTTACAATAGGAGCACCAGGCTTCTTCTTGAAGGCTTTTTTGGATATGTTCATGGTATGGGACTTGCTGAAGGCAGGTCTTTTTTGCTTGGGCTTCTAGTTTCCAGGATGTTGGATAAGTTCTATACATTTCTTTCTTTTCTTTTTTTGTTTGGTCTTTTTCTTCTAACTCCTCTTCTTTCCTTCTGTAGATTGGTCTGAAATTCCGATATATTGGTTGGGACCTTGCACGTGCTTCAATCTGGGTGGTAATGGCAGTAAGTCTCTTGTTCATCCATTCTAGCTGTTGATATAATTTTTCCATTCTCTTTTTAATCTAATCTATTCTTTCATTTATCAGGGTTTCCTTAATTCTACAATCTAGCTGTTCTTGAATGTCGAATCTCACAGTTACCACCAAAATGACACTAGTAAACTGGTGTTGGCATTTCAGTCTCTTTTCAATCGAATATGTCATGTGACCTATGAACGGCTTAGTCAATAAGAGGCAGTTAGATTTGGCAAGTAGTATGTTTATGATCGTAGGTATTATTATAATAATAGTAGTATATTATTATTAGGAGATGAATTTTATTTGAATCATGATGAACACTTCATCCTCTCTTTATAGGGCTCGAAGCCTTTATTATATACTTTCATTTACATAAGGCATGTTATACATTGTATTTGTGTTATATCGCTTATACTAATTATAACGTTTATATCAATTATATTGATGATAATGTCTATATTACTGATACTGATTATACTCTCTATACTGATTATAATAATTATACACCGTATCCCACTAATACCCATTATCCGCCCAATACATAGTATACTGCAAATACAGCATATACTGCGTATACTGCCAATAAACCTATTACAGGTATATGATCTATATACCCATTACCGATCACAAGCTTTCAGCCCCACCATTCTACTGCTCACACTGTGATCCACGAGTGGCCGATTTCATCATGGATCTTCGCCGTTTGACCTCAAGTCATGCCTTTCTGGAGTATGAAGATCTCTTGCTATATTTAGGATAACCATGCATATATAATGATTATAATGCATATTGTGAGACCCAAAACTTGACTAGTACATGTGACGAAGATCCTAAATGTCAGAAATGTCAGGAATGTCAGATATATCAAATATGTCTGATATATCTGATATATCTGCTATATTGTATAAGTGTGATATATTAAATAAATACGATATATATGATAAATTAGACATATACAATATATTAGATATATTTGATATATTAGACAATCATATAATGTAAATAGACAAGAACATTTATTATAAATAAAGGGCAATTCACCTAGGCCAAAAAGCAAGTGATTACAATTGCAAAATATAAACTAATTATCTGACTCATAGTATAAGTAAAAGTGTTGTCTTATACAACCAGTTATTATCATAAATCCTATTATTAACAATATCCATTAATCCTAGCAATAAACTAAACCTGTAATTGATCACTCACCTAGTCACATGTTCAGTAAACCATAATGAAAAGAGTTCCAACCTTGATTCGACATAGTAAAATCCCAGTTGAGACAATAGAAGAAGGTAAGAATTAGATTAAAAGTAGTTTGAAAGAAAGTCTCAACAAAGAAGAGACTAGTACTTATCTATAGATGATAATTCATTCACCAAATCTAATACATCTGTTTTGACTTAGTCATCATAGGTTACATGAGAGTTGGCTTAGTTTAGTAACAGACTTGCTGATTTCTGAGACAACAGTATATTGCATATATTGATTATAATCATTATATGCAATATATCATTATAATCATTATAATAATTATCAACATCCTAAAAATAAATAGTAAATTAGATATAAATAACATGTAGTTTTGCTCAAGTAATAAAGTGGATTCCCTTATCTGAAATAAATTAAATGAAGAGTTCAACTATTAGTAACTGTAGAGAATTATTATTAAAGAATAAACCTAACCTAAAATGGTAGTAAATCACACTCTGATTGTACAGTAATTCCTGATGTAGCATAGAATACTGCAGTGTTAAAAGAATTACAGTGATAGTATCGACATAGTGTAGACTATCCAGGATAAGCCAAATCTGAATTGAAATTACTTGTCAAATTAACACACCTATTTCAACTGAAAGCTATCTGAATATTACATAAAGCCAATCTTTGATTAGCCAAATTAAAGCATCTTACTAATTACTTATAAAACTTCTTGTTGATAATAACAAATGGATAATTTTATTAAAATACAATCATTACTACATAACTAGTAATTTGCCATTTATATTGTCAGAGATAAAACTGACATCTCATGGAACCTGTGAAATGGACATCATTGTGGCATACTTATCTAATTAGAGTTGTCTATAATGATTTATCTAAAATATATGCATTCAGTCCTAAAAGAAGTTATATAAAAGTACACAAGCCTTCATATGAAACCCTACCACCTCCTATAATTAAAGTAAGGTCGATCTGAACCAATCTGTTGCACTAGAAATAGATGTTGACTCTATCTGTTTTACTTGAGTTAGATATAAGGTGATGTCAAGAGGATGCAATTAAAAACAATACAATGAGTTCTGACTCCGAGATCATAAAAAGAAAACATTTCTCATCAGTACTAATGAAAGCCATGAGAAATGTTAAAGTAATAAAAGGCTGTATGAAAGGAGTTAAAGGCTATAACAAATAAGATTGAAAGGTGTTGGAAATACTGAGAAGAGTTATAGTCTTACATAGGCTTTTCTTTTATTCAATTCATTATAAAAAGAATGATATTTCCTCCTTTTAAAAGACAGTTCAAGGCATTTACTAATTTTTACTCTCTTTTCTATAATTTCTATTGGCTGCAGATAGATCTCATCTTCGATTGGATAAAATCATAACATGACCTTTTGCACCATTTCTGACTTTCATTCTGACTTTTACTTCTGACCTTTATTCTATTGATTAATCCTAACTTGTACTATAGCATGAAATTTGTCTTTACTTTAAATACAGATATAGTATAATACTTTTCTTTACTTTAAATAGCATAATAATGTTTACTAATTAAAAATACTTGCCTTTTGTTTTTAACATTTAGTAAATGCTGTATATATATATCTATGTAAGAATAAATCACAAAGTACTTATCTTTTAAATAAAATATATCTGTCTTTTTTTTATTTTTTTGCACAAAACATTGATATTATTTGATATTAATTTTTATTTAAAGCTTGATTGAAATAACTACAGAATATATGAGTTCGAACTTAGAAAAGTTTCATTTATAATTTATTTTGTAGTCTTTGATCTAAAAATATTTAATATATAATAATACATAAATATTATAGAGTCTGAGCATGTTTATAATAGTGTGATTTGAGCTTGATTCATTGTATATATTAATACTTTACTGGTTTCCATTACATTAAGCCATGAGTCATTATGTAATAATCTTGATACAATATTATTTTGTATATATATTATAGAAACTTATTAGATATATACTGTATATAAGTAAAGTAGCAAGTTGTATAGTAATGTGTTTCTAATAAATAAAAAATAAAAGTTTTGTTAATAGTAAATCATTACTAGTGATTAAATCATTTTAGCTAAATCTGCATAGTCTATTTCTTAAGAATTCAAGGCTTATTAAAATTTATTTTTTAGATTTTTATTTTTCATTTATGACACTATATATTTTTAGCTAATTTAGCATATTATATTTTTTAATTCATAACTTTTTTCTTTTTATGATGTATCTAAATTTGATTTCTCAATTCAGTATAACAGTATAATTAGTGCTAGTCCTGATATATAAATTTAATGCATAATATATAACTATACAAAATTTTTTTAATAGTAATTTGATATGCATTTGATAATTAATTTCATAGCATATTGATTTTATTTATAGCATTTAATTAGTAGATACTAATGCATTTGATTGCACATTTAGACAATGCTATATATATCAATTCAAGTTATTTTAATATGCATACATTTAATTATCAATTAACAAAAATAGGTATTATTTTTTATTTATTAATTATTTACTATTTATTTATTAATTAATAAATTATTTGATTAGTGAAATTAATACATATTTCTATAGCCCTTATTCTATACACATAAATGGATACCTATGCATAAAAATCTCTAAATGCAGTTTTAAGTTCATACAATAAAATAAATACATGTTGAATTTGTGATAAAAAAATCAGGCTATAATATGCATGCCAAATTTTATTTTATGTAAATGCATGCTAAATTGCTAATTCATGAAAAAATTAAAAATCATATTTATATTAGCGAAATTAATATTTTCATATCTCTTATCTCCTACACATAAATGAATATCTAATGCATAAAGATTTCTAAGTACAGTTCTAAGTTTATACAATATAAAATCAATGCATATTGAATTTATAAGGAAAAAATCATTCTAATATGCATGCCAAATTTGTGAAAAGTTAGTTAGTTTATGCAATACATTCTGAATTCATGAGAAAAAAATTAAAGATCAAATATTGTAAATAAAAAATAATGAAATTGCTGCTATGTATGCCAAAATTTCCAAATAATTTGTCAAAATAATAATCCAAACTAGCAAAATATAATGAAAAACTTTTTTTTACTAATCATATCTAAAAATTATAAAAAGAAAAAATTGTAGTGTTAAATCATTTTTAAGTTGAATACATCAGTATTTCTTTATCTATATCTTTGAATAAATTATTATAAGAAAAATTGTCTATTATCTTAATATCTTTAATTTTTCCTATATCATTATTACTAAATAAAGCAATGCTTAACAACAAAATTAACAGATTAGTGCCAATTGACATCAATGCAATCTTTGATATTGATAAGAAGTCTGATATAAATATTAGTAATAATGAACTTGATAATATTCTTAATAGAATTATAAATGCAACAGACAGTGTTAAAGAAGTGTAAAAAATGAAAGATGATGACAAAACCTTATAGGATTTAAATAATATAGAAAAATCCAAAACATTTCATCTACCTGTTGATAGTTATGAAGAATGGATCAAAAATCTTAAAAAGGCAGGACATGTTTTGTTAGACATGAATATAGAATAAAAGAAAGTAACTCTAGAATAAAATATAGATGAACAGAACAATCACACTGCCATTATTATGGCACATACAGTAGTGCTGCTGAGAAGGATTTTAGTAAAAAGTTGTGACTTTTATTTTTTTTATTTATTTTTTTTTTTTATAGAGTAAGGCTTGGTCTCAGTCTTTATTAAACAATTTGGTATTATATTAATTAAAATGTTTTACATAAATTATTACAGGAACCTATAGCTAGAACTAATTTATTCTCAGCCCAAAACTCTTCTAAAGTAGGCTATTAGACCTCTTCTAGGTTTAGTGTTGCTATATAAGAAGTAAATATATTTGTAGTAGAAAAAATATTTGCCTATTTTTTATATTTTGTTTCAGCTGCTTGGTCTGTAACTGGATGTTCAGGTGCCATTACTGTAAGTGTATTTGTTAATAAGTTATTTTGATGCACTACTTTGCATCTTTTTGTTCAAATTTGCTTATATATATTACTTGATATTTTGTAGAATAGATTAACAATTAAGCTTGAAGTAATGTTGCAGTTTGTGAATATATCATCTGGAATTAGACCTTGTATTCAAAGAAAGTATTGAGTAGTAGTTTGTGTTGAAGTAAATTGCTGCAGTAGAACAGGTATATTGCTGTTTTCTATTTTGTGTTTTGTACAGAACTTGTATGTAGTTTGTTGAAGTAGTTGATTGAAGGTTATAGAGTTTGCCTGACATTCAAGCCAATATAAGTTATTCTCTATATGTAATGTGCAGCAATTACAGGTTGGATTAGTGTAAGTTTTAGGTTTTCTATAGTATAGATTTAACAGTGTAAGTAACTCATTTAGTAAAAACTTAATTTTAAAGCTTTTTAATTATGAGTGCTTAGGATAGATAGCATGAGTATTAGGTTTGTTGTTATAATTAATGGATTGGTATGTCAGATCTTAGTTGGATATTTTGATAAATAATATTTCAATGGCTAGTTCTATTTAAGACATGCCATTTTGCAGTATTAGTTGCATTTTGTAGATAGTGAATAAAGTGGCAGGTTTGATTTTTTATTGATGTTTCATTCCAAGTAAGATAAAAGTTGTTATTGTCCAAGGCATAAGGTTGAATATGAAGTTTATATTGTTGTGTTGTAGTAGAAAGATGAACTGTTCTGTTGTAAAGAGGATAGTTATCTGAGTTCTCTATATTAATACATTTGATTTTGAGATGTTTGTGAGTAATTATTGTTTGTGTTAAGAGTTTGAGTAACCAGTAATTATGTTTTTGTAAGATAAGTGTTGTGTTTAATGTTGGCATAAGAAGTGAGTTAATATAGTTGGTTATTGGTTTATATGTTATAAAGACTATTATTTGACAATGTTGTAAAACAATAGTTAGTATTGTTATAATACCAATAAGGTATGCTTATGTAATAGAGGGCCAGTGTGTAATTTGAGAAGGAATGTAATGTTAGTAGATGCAAGAATCCAGGCAAATTGAGCCTGTAAGCTTGGGGTATTTGGTTGAATTATAGTTGCATAAAGGTATAGTTGAAGCTTTTTAGCTTGAGAGTTAATTGTTGAAAGATGAGATAAATGTGTATTGAATGTATTTGGTAAAAATAATTGATGTATTAAATTATTTGTAGATATTGAAGTAGTTAATGGTTAAGGATTATTTTTGTTAGTTGAAGCAATAGTAGAATGTAGAGTTGGTGTTTTATGTTGGCACTGTAATAATATTTGTGTTGTAAGGTATAGATGATATTATGCTAGGTCATGAATGTCTGTATGGAGAAATTTTGCACTAGACACTTTGATGGCTGTGCACTGGGATGTTTTAAGCATTATTATGCATTGCTGATTAGTAGTAGTAATAGTGTTTTTGCAGTTCATACATTTTGATAGTAGGGCTATGTATTGAAGCTCTGGTGATGATAAGCAATAGTGTTTAATATATATTGTATTGCTTGTGTGAAAAGTTTTTTGTATTTTGCCTATAATCTGAGTTTTGTTAGTTTTTACTAAAACCCAGATGCTTCTTTTTAGTATAATAGAATTTATAGTAAATGGGATAGGAGTAATAGTAGGAATAAATAGTATTGTAGATGCATAGAAGATATTGTGTAATTCAAGAAACCATTTTGGAATTTTACCTCTAGGTATCTTAAGTGTTTTATATACAATGCATTGCCATGAAACTAGTTGTATGTTTGTGTAATTAGTAAGTTGTTTAATAGCATAGATGTTTGTTTTGTTAGTAAATGATTTAATATGTGTTGGTTTGTTGCAGAATTTAATTAGTATATCGATTAGGGTATCTTTGTATATAGTTGGTATAGGCCAAGAGTTGAGAAGATTTTCTATATTAATGTTAAGCTAATATGCTGTTTGAATAGTTTGGGCTGTGAGTGTATTGTAAAATTTAGTAGGTAGTATATAGTTAGAAATAAGTAAAATATTGTTTGATGAAAGTGTAATATTCTGAAGGTGCTGAATGATAATGTTAATTGATGGAGCTGTTAGAGTGTTGTTTAGTTATATGTGAAGTGATGAGATATGGTTTTGTGTTTAAATATCAGTTAAGTTGTGAAGGTTATAAATTTGGTGATAAAGTATAACAGAGTTTGATATTGTTAAGACAAGTCCAGCTTTGTGTTTTACCACTTGCATATATAAATTAGTTATGTCTTGCATAGTGAATTGGTGCATGAATATGTTCATAGTTTTGTATAAGAAGTAGGATACAAGTATTATGTTAACTATATAAATTGTTTGTTTCTCAGTAATCTTTTTGTTTTTTATAGTATTAATTAGGTTTGTAGCTTTAGTAGTAATCTGATTATGAATGTGTTTGTGATGATTCAAGAGTATAAACCAGCAGTTTAAGTATTGAAAGGTTTGTTTTAAAGGTATAGTATGTATAGTTGTATTTGCAAAGTTGATTATAAAATTCAGATCTTTAGTTTGATTTGTTGTGAGGATTGATTTTGTAGGGCTAACTGTAATATTAGCCATGTTGTAGAAGGACTCAGCTGTTGTAACAATTTGTTGTATAGTTAGTTTGTCAGAAGCTAGCCATAAGGTATTATCTATATAGGCAAGGACTGAGGTATAATATGTAAGTAGTTGATTTATAGAAGAGAATGTTGTTGACATATTATATCCATGAAATTTGAAGTGAATATAGGTAATTAAAGGGTCATAATAAATGTGTCAGAGCAAAGATGTAATGGTCTCTTCTTGGTTTATACTATCTTGAACATGGTAGCTGGATGTAGGGCTAAGATTTGTAATAACTAAGTTGTAACAATTGCTGTGAATATTTATTATAAGTTGAGATATGTTTTGAAGAATTTTTATGCGATTCAGTGCATGTTAAAGGAGTGGAATATGTACAGAATCATATGCTTTACTCATGTTTTGAGCTAAAAGCAGATTTCTTTATTTTGTATATGTGTTTCTTGAAGTATGTTTGTAAGTATTTGTATGAGTTGTGTAGTAAAGAATATGATAAAGCAATGAAGTTATATGGATCAAGAATAGGATATTTGGATATTATTTGAGTAAGTCTGTTGGTAATAATTTTTATAAAGATTTTTCGTGTATGCTCAAGAAGAGTAATAGGCCTTGTGTGGTTAAGTTGGCCTGTAAAAATAGGTTTTTTAGAGATTGAATATATTTTGCTCTGTTTTCAGACAGTTGGTATGTCTGTTGTATTTAAACACTTGTTAAATAAAAATGTAAGAAGTTTGATAATATGATAATAAGTGTGTTTAAGCATTTTATTAGAAATTAGTATTGATTTTGTTGCTTTTTTGTTTGGTGCTAAGTTGATTGTATTGATTATTTTCTGTTGGGTTATAGGGTCTAATAATGTGTTGTACCATGAGAGAAGTATGTTAGTTTTGGAGTTGTATTCATCTTTCCATTGTTCCCAAAGAGTTGGATTATGTGGATTATGTTTGGTTCAGTTTGTGAAATGGTTTTTGATATGTTGACAGATCTCTTTTGGCTCTGTAATTATTAAGTTCTGAAGTTTTATGTTATCAAATAGTACTGGGTCAGTGTGGCGGTTAATTAAACTATTAATCATAATTGTTGTATTTGAGGTAAAATTGTTGTAATGTGTTTGAATATGTTGTTCAATTTTTCTAAATCACAAGTATAATATAGTGTTTTGTAATAGTTTTTTATTATGTTATTACTTATATAGTTATTAACTATTCTTTTAAAGGTTTAAGATGAAATAAATATATAAACTAATAGTAGCAGGAAGCTGGTTAGAATTGATATTAACCATGGTGAGAAGTGTAATAGGTAGATTTGTTAATAGTAGTATAGTTTGTATTTTTTGATTGATGCTATTAATGATTGCAATAATAGTTAAGATATTGTTATTGGGAGTGTATTTAAGATTTATAAGGGTTTGGAGTATACTGCTACAGATGTTTAGTACAGTATGTGTTTTTAATAATATTGGAAGTTATAAATATATATAAGATTTGTTGTGAGACCCAGATTTCATCAATTTGGCTAAAGAGGTTGTTGCATGTCCAGGTTAAAGTATTAGGATAATAATTATATATTAAAGGAATAAAGTTGTATAATAGAAGGTATTTATATAAAGTAGAGTGTGATGGTCTGTTGAGATCTTAGTTGAAATCTCCTATAATTAATAAAATAATGTTGAGTTTTTGTGCTTGTTTAATCCAAAGAATAATTTGGCTTTGTGTTTGTTTTTTAATATCAGAATTATTTGATAAGTATGTAGATAATTCAAAGTTTGTTTTTATATAATAAATAGAGATCAATTGCAATAGCAGTATTATTAAGGGTTTGTATATTGTGAATGTATGTTGTAAGTAATTGGTTAATAAGAACTATTGTTTCTTCACTTGATTCTCTAGAGTGATTTGGATTAGTAGTATTGTTGTTTGACATGAAGCATTTGTAATTATTATTGTGGAGTATAAGATAATTATATTGGGATTGTGCTAATTTGGTTTCTATAAGTGATATAATATCA